ATATTGCGTATATGAGTAGCGATTACTTCGTTAGGAAGTGATATTCTAAACTTTACGAACCCGCTGAACATACATTCAATGAATAATTTCTAATATTTCACTTGCAACTCACATTTAGTTTTCAGGCAAAAACTAATGGCCTACTTCATTATTTCGGTAACATTGCACTTGACAACTTCGATGGTAAACCGATGCTCTTTTAATTTCAACCGAGCATAGAATTCTATCAGTGAACAGACTTGTGTTCAATTCGATATTTCGAAGCACAGCAACTATGTTGTGCATCGGAGTGTGGAATCCGCAGGTATAAGGTCCAATTCCTCAGGACGACTTGGAATTTTTTTTCTTTTATATCACACTCATGACAAGACAAAAAACATCTTTCTCTATGTTGTACTAGTTACGACCTTTTAACTCGTGTTCGACTAAAAAGTTGTTTCGTTCTGAATAGACAAAGGGTGTATTAAATATTCTCGGTAGCTGCAGACATGTCACCGAATTGTCATATCAATTGTTTTTCCTCAAAGTGGAGATCGAGATGGAAATTTCACCAGTCCCAGAACCAAGTTAAGTATGAATTTCTTCCCCGCTGAGAATTGTACCTGTATTGAAAAATAAACTGTAATGCGGCCGAAGCGATGCACCAGCCTAACAGTATCATTACACATATGTGTCGGAATCAACGTCCAACTCGCCACGTAGACCAAAAGAAAAGCTATCGCGTGGATATTTTTAAAGTTTGGAAGAAAAATAATGTTCATCTCAAAGTATTCGAGTTCATCATACCTCGTATCAGATATGGAACAACCCAACGCTGCTGAACGTTACAAGGTAGCAAAACTTGCTGCTATCATATTTCGAATTTTTATTCAAATACATCAATTAAAATACAGGTCTGATTTTCCTGGTAACTATGTCCGGAGGCGACATCAATTATAATTTTTTTAATTTCTTAAAGTCTGATTTGAAGATTGAGCATGAATTACGCCCCAAAAACACTCATCACTACCTCAAGAGGAAAGACGATTTTTCCCTTTAATTTCGACCCTAAGAAACATATGATAGCAAGATATGGTCGATTAACTTTCGATAATTTCAACCCGTTTTGAAATCCAATGAACTTGACAGGGTTGAGCGATCTTTTTAATCACTAGAAGATTTTTTTGTTCGCGAAGTCAATAGGATTTGCATGGACGAGTCAGATCAAGTCTGAAAGGAATAAAATCATCGCTTTTCAAATGCGAATGAACAGTGTTCTTGTCATTTTTAATTTGTTAGGGAGATGAATCGACTGCAAATATAATAATTGCCCACTGTTTTCTCTCATTTGCATGAATTAAAATTAGCTACTGAATTTCAAATATGTTCGTGTTCTGTGTTCAACATTGATCCTTCGAAGACATGTAAACTTACAGCTGGACTTCTAAACAGAGAGAGGAAACATGGACGTCTGTATGTTTAGGCAGAGAGTATTATGAAATTGTGATATTTATTACCAAAGAAGTTAAAGGCTAGCATCAGTGCTCAATAATTATCAATTCTGTTTCACGAGCTCGAGCAAATATTTCCACAGAAATTCTCCAAGTTTCGTGACGTGGCCCTACAATAATGAAGCCAAAATGATCTGCCTCCTGTGGCGAGTGCTGGCCTATTCTCGACTAGACTGGGGTTCTTCTGTGAAAAGTTCAGTATTCTCTTTATTTTCCGTACAGAAATCACCGAATCTGCTTTTGCGATAGTCTATCCCAAAAATTCTCAACCTCGTTCCCCGGTGTCTCTCATCCTCCCGCCCGCGAGAAGATGAGAGACCCTGGGAACAAGGTTGAAAAATTCTAGCTAAGGCTATTTCTTATTCATACATTTTTTTTTTTTTGCCATTCAACATCCTATCTTCTCTCAACATATGTTAACCCTTTCAGTACCTTCAATGAAGATTTAAGTACAACAATACGTTGTGTGTAGGGAATTATCAATTTTTATGATATTTTGGCTTAATTAGCTAATGGTGTCTGCATACAAACCTTAATGTAAATTTGAGTAACACATTTCTCCCGCACGAGAAATCCCAAAGACCTGTATCTTTGCGAGACTGTTTGAATATTCATCTTACTTTATCTCTGATTCTTGACTTTATTTGTTTAATGGCTTTGATGATGGCGTGACAGTGAAAACCGGCAATAGGATTCACCGGCGTCATAAAAGTTTCGACTGACTACCATCAATTCACCTCAACATGAAAATAATATCGAGGTTAGCCACAGAACCTTTCAAATTGTTTCCAAACTCAAGACGGTAAGATTTCTACACAGCTCCAAGTCAATCTTCTATTTTGGCCATTGTCTTCTTTATCCAAGAACCGTGCGCGTGATTTAGAATGGGGCTGTGCAGAAATATTGCTTTCCAAATCATGGTAAACGAAAAAGTGACCCAAGAAGAGCTCTATATAATATCAAAAATGGGTGTGGACAAAACCTGGCCCATCCTGTAGCCTACCCTATGGCCTACCGATGGTCAGATTTTTAAGAACATAAAAATAAAATCAGTAAGAGTCGAACGAATACGCTGGTGTACAATTATCTGTCTCTAAAAAGGGTATACTAAGAAGTCGCTAACACGATTTTCAACTTCCGAGGGAACGAAACTCTGCAAATATCACAGCACTCAACCATAACGGTAGGTTTAGGGGGAGGGGAGAAGAGGGGCCAATATTGCGTGGTCGCGAGGATAAACAAAATGGCGGCTTTATGATGCAGGCTGTCACGGCAGTTGGAACGAAACACTACATATAGTGGAGTGCTGGTGTAAAAATGTAATGAACGGCGTTATATTGGAGAGCATACATATCCAGGTAAGAAACGCAAACATTACGTGCCAGGCCAATTTTAAGTGCCATCAAGTGCTGTAGAGTATTGAATTTGCAACGAGCACCCCGGGACACGCACGCATCGCCGTCGTAAACATTTCGCAAACTTTACTTGCTTTTCCAAAGAAACGGCCAGTATTGCACTAATTTGAAAGGAGAGCTGATATGATGATGTTTGCCCAAAAGTTGCGTTTAACCGGCTTCTGTTCCTCGATTTCCTTATTCTATCAGAAGGTTAAGAAATTTTGATCGGAATGTGGCCGCCAAAACAGCAGAAGAAAGTGGTTGGTAAGACAGTACTCAGGAAAACGTTGAAAGGTATCCAGCAATGCTATCCTTTTAAAAATCTGACCACCGGTAGGCCAGGTTTTGTCCACGCCCATCAAAAATACACGAAACGTCCTGGGAGAGTATCAGAAATCATATACAGAGGACGTTAAAGAACCCACACACTCCTCGCAAAGAGTAGGGAACGTAGCTTCTGGTGTTGGGATCTAGTCACAGCTCCCCATTTAAACCAGCTTTATGCAAAACTGGACAAGCCTATCTAAATATCGTAGATAAATAAATACACAGGAAGGTTCTCACCGTTACAAATGCTCACACTCGACTCTGACTTTGAGGCACGAACTGTTTTTGCCACACTTATGATAAAAAAAGAACAAGATTTACCTGTGATCCTGTCTTGAAATGTTCGATGCTATGTTCTACGGAGCTGTTCGCCTCGACTGTAAAGCTGTAGTGAATAACTCAATCGGCACGCAACTTTCGGGGATATTTATACTACTAATTATGGAAATATCTTGATTTCTGCATCTCTCGTGTCAATAGCCTTAATTAGAGAAATATTTGCTGCACACCTGAATTTTTACACAATAGCAACAAACTTTTCCAATCCGAAGAAACGAGAAAAACATGTGTTCGCGTTTCTACCATTGGGATGTAAGCGCAGCTATAACACACAATCTTCTTTTCTAAGATTGTTCAATGGCCCAGATATCCAAGTTGCTTTTAGACTCGTAGCCACAGAAGGCCTTAAACTTATTTCTTTCATGAGAAAATTATATATTTCACATGCAAAATTACCACACTCATTCTCACGGGTGCGGTTTTGGATGCACTGATCATCACTTTAGCAGCGAGATTAGAAGTAACTCAAACGGTTTTTATGACCAGAGAAAATTGGAGCGAAAGTCGTTTCTTCTTGACAATTAATCGTTAAAAAGACACAAATTTTCAGCTCTGACCTCAGGTTAAAACGCCTTATTTTTCCTCCCCTGTTTGTTACCCACGCCTTGTAAATTAAAATCGAGTGTTGGTTGAGTCCGGTATCAAATATTGAGCACTTTTGAGTTCTAAAAAAATACACAGCAAGATAACATTCATTCATCACCGCGCGAACCGAAAAGCTCCCAGAGCTGAATTTGATTCGATTTGGTTTGGAAATTTGTGACACTTTGATAGGAGAGAGCCTTTCTTGGTGCGAAGCATCTCTTGTTTGCTTTATACTCAGCATTTGCCACGTGAGGTAGTCACTAGATCTTTATTTGTCTTGGAATGCAGCTGAGCTTCCCTAGCCAAAATCGACTATTTCAAAACCGAACTGCCCACGGTTTTGGGTGGGGTTTATTTGTTACCTACTTTAAACAACGAATATTGCAAGTATGAATGAGAAAGCAATATTGAAAAAAGGAATTTTTTTAAAGCAAAAACTAATAACTATCATGGAGGCTTGTAAATCGGTTTACGCATTCCACTGATCATGTTGGGCAAGACGGCTCATCTCGCCCGCTCGGGTAGCCAATCAGAACACAAGATTTTCTTCATAAAGCCCACGTTTTCACGTTCTTACCGCCCCATCAAATCACCCACAAAAGAATATTCAAAATCGCCATTTTTCGTTTTCGATGACACACTCACACACAGTTCGCCAGCCCGTATTACTCGTTCACTTAATGAATATCACGATATTCGTTACCAAAACGTTCCAGTAAACCACCCCCTCATTAGTAAATCCCTGTAATCATTTGCTTAAATAACACCACAGTTATTATTCATACAACAACACGAGGATCAATTTCTTCTTACAGGAATTTGGGGAAGTACATCATGAGTTCAAATCACACCAACACGCTCATTAACAGAATTCATACCAATCAACAGCTTTAATTGTGAAACAGACAGAAAAACAACTAAACAATTCCTCGAAGTCGGACGCAAATTACAAGGAGAACACAGAAAACAAGACAAGAAAACTTGGCCTCTTGAACTCTTCTGAATTTCTCGCCTTTTAAGAGAAACCCTCCACATGACAAGGTCATTTGCTGGAAACAGAACAGAACATCGCACAGCTCTGTCCCTTCCTTGTAAAATAACAAAGTGGTCAACAAGTAGATGTTCCTTTTCCAATCGCAGGTAGTAGAGGTGATCGGTTGGGGAAACCAACAGATTTTTTTTTTTTTTTAAGGCTTGTGTTCGCCTTTTTTAAGACCTGACCGTGTACAATTTTCAATCGCGTTCTAATCACTTTGAACAGCCTGACCTATAAAAACTCCTTATTAATTTATTTTGTCAATGTGTCAACACACACACACACACAAAAAAAAAAAAGATTGCGCACAGTTACGGAGCTTGCAACCGAACTGCAACGGAACTGTTCTCATCTTTAATTTTTGAAGGCTTTCATCAACAGTCAACTCCACTTTCATCTCTTTCACTTCGAAATTAAAAAAAAGAAAAAAAAAAAGAAATGATAAAGTAGTACTTGCAAAGTTAAACATGTCTCCTTGTGTCAAGACTGCTGTAGAATAGTGTCACAACGCTTACATTACTAGGGAGGGGTCAGTGATGGCAGTGAATCCATTACTTGATTATCTTAGTCACCACCCCAGTCCCCACAGTCCTACTGCCCTCTCGGAGGGTAAACCTGAGCCCAGTCTCAAGTGCGATGTCGAACATGAGCTTAATAGTGAAGGAGGCATCTTCCCCGGGCATGACAAAATCCTTCCCCTCTGGGAGGGTGATGGTGGCCGACACGTCTGCTGTTCTGATGTACATCTGAGGCTGATAATTGGATACAAATGGTTTGTGGCGTCCACCTTCTTCCTTTTTCAATATGTACACCTGTAAGGTTTGAGAAAAAGGAGGACTGAGGATTTCTCTTATGGCCTCTTTACATGATCCTGGGTTATTTGTGAACCTGAGGTATAACCCTTATGCGGTAAATCATTAGCGCGTGTTTAAACGAAAAGTACTCAAGCCAAGTCAAACCTCCTCGTCGAGTAACCCTGTTGGTGACACAAGTTGATTCCGTTTTTTGACGTAGACCCTGGCCCAAAAGCTAAGCCAGGTCGGTCATTTCACTCATATGACCATGTATATTTCAATTTTATACTGTTTCAACATCATGACCTAAATGCACTACCATTCCATCTTACTCGAGTTAACAGTTTTTCTTGCCGTCTTTGAAAAGCCCATATTTTAAAAATGAATAAAGGCCGATAGTTTCTAAAGAAACTGTTTGGGGCTGCGTCGGTGGGGGTAACGAAATAATTTGAATATATCAACAAAGTTGAAATGCAAATTGTTGAAATGGCAATTATTGAAATGGTAATTGAGATGGCAATTGTTGAAATGGTAATCCCCCTTTTCGCTCCGACGAAGGGCTAACGCTCGAAACGTCAGCTTTTATAATCGTAACGGTGGCCAAATTACCATTTCAACTTTGTTGATATATTCAAATTACTCCATATTTTAAAACATTGCAGTATTTTGGCAGCCTGTGAACAGGCTCTCATTGACGTCAAAGAGATCTGCAAGGAGTCTCGCAGCTGATTCTTCTAGCCTTCGTCTCTCGTGCCTCACAACCGATACGAGTCTTCTAGCGGTTGAAAAGGGGAAGGAAGGGAGAGATAAGGCTCATAAAACTTACAAAGGACATATCCAGCTGATATCGTATGAAATTAGTGTATACAAAGATTACAGTACCTGAGCCATTACAACATACAGTGCCTGAGCCATTACAACATTACAGTACCTGAGCCTCAAACTGTGTGTGTGGCTGGATAGTTCCGGGAGCACACAGCACCATTCCACGTTTGACTTCCTCTCGCTTAGTCCCTCTCAGTAATGCTCCCAAGTTGTCCCCAGCTTCTCCTCTATCGAGGAGTTTGTGAAACATCTCAATGCCTGAAAAAAACAATTGCAAGCATATTCACTTTGTTTATTTGAAACCAAGGAAAAGAGCAGAGTAAGCTTTGTTACAACACATGCTAAAAATGGTCAATTTCAGCTGTTTTTGTTGTCAATGTAAAGAGCCTTAGTTGACCTAATTTCAAAGAAATTTATCTTGAGTGTAAGTAAAATCTTGAATGTGCATGTATTTTGGGTTTAGGAAAACACCAATGTCTGCGACATGTTGACAGCAAACAGACTGATGTGACATAGGGGGGATCCTTTTACCAAAATAATATTGTTTCTCTATTCACAAGCTTCCCGAGAAGATGATAAAGATACAAGTGACAAGCCCCGTAAAGTAACACAAACCAGAACTGGTTTATAAGGAAAACTCATTTTCAAAAGTCGCTCATATTTGTTTCTCAATTTAACTCACTGAAACCAATTTACACCCTAAAATCAGCATGCATATTCTCCATACTGTTCTTCATAAATTTCCTAAGGTGCTATCAAGGAGAATTTGTTTAACAATCAAGAGCTTCTTTAGTTAGTGATCATTTTCTTCATTCTCCTGACTTTTTCATGTGTGATTCTGGGATGAATTGTTTGGAGAAATTACAAATAGATGTAAGTAGACAAGTACTTCTTACAATTGCCAACAAATTTCAGGTAAGATGTTATAAAGAGGAAATCTGCCCCAGCAGAGGAGGTTTCAGCACTGTTTATCAAACAAGTGTAGTTGCATGTTTTCATTTATTCAGTTCACCTGTGATTGTTGTCTTCCCCTTGGCTCCATGGCCCACAAATTCCACTTCATCACCAGTCTTGACTGTGCCCCTTTCAACCCTTCCAGTCACCACAGTGCCACGCCCAGGAATCGAAAACACATCCTCAACTGGGAGGAGGAAGGGCTTGTCGAGTTCTCTGTCTGGTGTAGGAATGTGCTCGTCTACAGCTTTCAGGAGTTTGACAATCGTCTCTCTACCCATCTCTGGTTCCTTGTCTTCTAATGCATAGAGAGCAGACCCTGAAATGATGGGCGTGTTATCTCCATCAAAGCCATACTCTGAGAGAACCTCTCGCATCTCCAATTCAACCTGTTTGGAGAAAAAGAAAACTCTTACAAATTACATGATTGCAAGGCTGTGCTCTAAAAAAAATTGAAGGGAGCACAGTGCTCTGAAACTGTGAAATCCAGGGTCCCCAGCATATGCCTTTTACAAAAAACTAAGATTCCTGAGTCACCCAAGAGCAAAAGTAAGGTGCCAAGGGCAACAGGGCACTGCTAAACCACAGCCCTGCATGATTATATCTCTTATACTAAGCAATCCTTTGGATTTTTTTAAAGTAAGTTGATGCAATTCATTTGCAATGAAGAGTGAGCTCTAGCTGAGCTCACTGAATGGTGTTCTTAGGCAAAACACTTTACTCTCTTCCTCTTTTCATCCCATAAATAGGTACCAGCAAACTTCCAGAGGAGGTGAAAGGTGAAGGCTAGGTAACATGAATTGGACTAGTATCCTTTTAAGAAAGAGTAGCCGCACTTTTTCTTACTTCCTACTATGGAAGCTAGGATAAGCTCCAATATTAATGAGGTAACATGACTTAACCTAACTTATATTTATTGTGATAATGAAAAACAGAGATGTCAGCGCACCAGTTCAAGAACTTCTTCATCATCCACTGCATCAGCTTTATTCAGGTACACAACAAGGTGCTTAATGCCAACCTGAAAGACAAAAAAAGGGCACTTTTTTTCATTTACGGGTAGATGGGCCTATAATCAGGGCAACTTATAAAGAGCAATCTATGGTAGCTGGGTACTTACAACCTGTTAACGAAACTTGATGAAATGGTGAGGGGGAAGACAAATGATGGACTCACATCCCATCTGAGGACGGTAAGAATCCTCCAAGTGGCATCATGTTTTGGGGATGGTGACAAGCTCTAGTACCTCCTGATTCACACTGCTTAAACCTTCAATTCCCATGAGTGACCAAGACAGAATTTCTCCTCACAATATTAATACAATATCAAGCAGACAGGTGATGAGAACAAAGAAAAACATCAATTAGGGGATAATTAGTTGATCCAATACCAAATTCTCCAAACTAACATCATAAGAATTGTATGGCAGACAGTACGGAGAATTACTAATGAGATCACAGGAGTGAAAGGGTCAAGAGCAGACTCTTTGTCTGCATACTACACATACTTTTTTAGACCCATAAGGTTATTGTAAGGGCTCTCAAAGGTGGTCTGTGTCATGCTGTAAATACTTTTTTTAATTTGAGAGATAAAAATTGTAAGATTCCTGAGCATACAGTATCTGTATTTCTCCTTCACTCTTTTCACTTCCAAGATCTCTCTAGTAATTCTCCATACTGTCTGCCACACATTGCCTATAATTTTAGTGGTGAGAATTTAGTACTGGTTCAAATAATAATCTTCTAACTGATATTTTCCTTTATTGTATGGCTGTGTCTCACAAGGACTGGGAACTACCGAATTCACGAATTTGATTGGCTGAAATCAATATTGAAAGCGGTCTAGATTTTCCCATCTAGACCAGTCTAGAAATAAGGTACAAAGAATATAAAAAATTGGCATATAAGACACAGCCATATAATAAACACCTTATTAACCGAGCTAGGTCAGTCTGTATGGGAGAATCTTGACCTCGGTCGCTGGTACAGACCTCACTGCATTTGGTCTGTACTGGCAACCTCAGACAAGATTCTCCCATACAGACCTCCCACTCCGTTAATAAGAACTAAATATTCTCACTACACGTCTACTTGATATTGTATCGATATTCTAAGGAGAAAGTATGTATTGATCTCTGCTGGGAGTGGAAGGGTTAAAAGGAAAGCACAAGTGCAGTCACATGTTACAAATAGTTTAATTAGCGAACCAATGAAAGACAATCTGTACCAACCTGACTGGCAAGTAAGAGATGTTCCCTTGTCTGTGGCATTTGACCATCTGTTGCAGCCACAACAAGAATAGCACCATCCATTTGGGCAGCTCCTGTGATCATGTTCTGGAAAACACATCACACATATTTATGGTTTTTGAGTTTTAAGTGTGGTATAATCAACTGATCAGTCATTCATAGCCTTAACATGACAGATCTTCAATCCATTTACTGTAGAACTGGTTTATTCAATGGAGGTTGAAGTTAAGTCCTCATCTTATTCTTATACGATTGTCAGATAAAATCTGGGATGAACTAATGCAAGGATACCTGATTCTTCTTAGCAAATGAGTGTTTAATTGTTTTTCTTACAATGTAAGAATCAGGCTAATCAATAGCCCATTTCCAAATTACCCTTGGTCTCATTTTCAAAACGAGTCCTGGTGCTCATCTTTTCATATGATAATAAGTTTTCATTCACATGAAAATTAAACTCATTTTCACAAGAATAGTTGAGCACCAGGCCTCGTTTTAAAAAGAGGCCAAGGGTAATTCGGAAATGGGCTAAATATTGTGTTTTGATCGTGACATTTCTGCTGCTATACTGCTAGTCTTCATCAGGCTTGTTTTAAAAGCAGAAACAGATTGAAAACTACATCTACATCACATCCTGTGCTTTGACATGAGTTTCAGTTAGAAAACAGTTCTTCATGCATACAGCCATCATAATAAATA